GTGGACTGGTCTGAGTTAATCTCCTGCAGCATTTGCAATGTTTTTTTTCTGTCGTATTGTCGATATTAAGCTATGAGTCAGTGTTAAATCGGCCATGTTGCAGTGTTACTCCAATCTGTTGAGCTCCGAAAAGATGAAGTGCACGTTGAGGTTTGGCCAAGTGGGCATCAATGTCAAGACTGATTACACACAATTCAGGTTGTTTGTCTTGCCCTCATATAAACATCTCTTTCCTAAATATTTGAAAAGATAATGAAGCTTTATCATGTGTAACAGTGAAGAGTATTTCGTATTAGTAGAACCATCTTTTCCTCTTGAGAAACAGTTGAAGTGTTTTATTAGTATGAGCACATGCTATCTTCAGTAGACTAAACTACATGTTTTCTTTCCCAGCAGACATTGCAACAATCTCTGTAAGCCTTTTGAATAACTTCACCACGCACTTACTTCAGCCAACACACCCACCTAGTGCTTTTGTGTGGCCTGCCAGCTTTATTATTCTCTATATTTTTGGATGAATCAGTACCAGTTATGAAGCTCCTGAAGCTAGAAAGGATCACCTCCTTAGATCTGGGCGGATGTAGCCCGAGGAAGTTTATCCTAGCTGTGTGTAAAGGAAAGCAGCTGCTGTCATGTAAAAGCATCAATTTTATGCATGTGTAAATACATTTTCATGACTACATTACATTTCTAGACCTCTGTAATTCTTAGGCTCTAACAGTCATACTGACATATACAAGGTGGGTGACTTAAGATAATAAAAGTTCAGGGAAAACCCAGGTAGATTTCAGACTAGTGACTTGTATAACAGATTTAACTGAAGAAAATCATCCATACTGTACAGTATTCTGCAAAAGAGTGGCTTTGAGTAGAATGCCTCGACAACTATTGAACAGATTGACATGAAATTTTGTCCAAACAAACAACAATGTGGCGATCCTTTGACTTTTCATCTAGAGCCATCGTCAGGTAAAAACTGTAGGTTGTCTGATACTTTTTGAACAACTACTTAAAAACTAATGACATTCCCGTCAGCTTCAGCTGTCCTTAGCAAGTGTTAGCATGTTCTAGAGGTCGTTGTGCATTGTGTAGCGCCCTCTGGTGGAAACGCGGGCTAGTTCGCTGCATAGCACCACGGTTCGAAGAATCTTGAACGGAAGAAGAGCTAATTTGGTGGAAAAACACTGAGGTCAAAGCAGTGAGTTACAGAACAGCGGCCCTGGAGCAGATTGTCTTGCTCAGGGGCACTTATGGCTGTCCAGTTGAAGGTTGGCCTCTCTGTGCGATACCTTTCACTGCTTTGAAACTGGATTCCATACTGCTCAAGCTCCCTTTCAGCACCACTGTCGACAGCACTTTAAGTCCGCCTTCACCTCCACTGCAGTTGAGTGGTGTGTGATGAGGCCGTAGTCTCAGTGTCTGCTGGAGATTTGTAGTGCCCTGGTTGATCTCAGAGGGCAGGCCTCCAACTTATTTATAGCACTGCTGTGGGTGTTGAAGGAAATGGGGCTGTGGCTGGGGGCGGGGCTTGTGTTTGCCTCTGGGGAGGACTCTTCCTCCCAACCAGACTGAGCTCATCTTGGAGGACTAGCAGACAGCAGCGGGGGCAGAGGGCAGTGGATTTGTAACCCAGCCCAAATGGCGATGACCCAAAGCATTTTCACGCAGCCACCACTTTGGTAAACACACAGGCAGTTCATTGATAGCATGTGTGACATTCCTCCATCCCATCTCAGGATCCCAGCCCAGTTCAGTCTGTTCTCAGATCTTCATGCTTGTCCCCAGCTGTGAGAGCCCTGCCCCCCTTTGACCCCCCCCCCCATTTGCTCTCATAGCTGCAGTTCATCTTGCTTGTTCTCTTATGTCATCCTCCTGAGTCATTTCCATCTGTTTACCATCTTTTTTTTGCTTCATCCTCTTCCGCCCTGTAGAATATACAAAAGACGAACACACATAAGACCTGTTTGTATTGTGCACCAGTTCACGAAACCCTTGAACGGACAACTAAAGCCAGCATATGATTGTCTGGACCACAGTTATCACTGCAAGCTTTAAACTTAAATGTATATGCAGCTATGTTTATAGGTGCTGTATATTTTTAGAAGTTTAGTCTAGTTAAATGATTGGATGACCTGAGACTGACTGCAATGGCGGCTCTGAACACAGCCTTCCGCCATCTGCATGCACTTCCTTTGCTTCTCTCTAACCATTACAGCTAGCTGAGCTGGTGGTACAATACCCCTCAGCGTTGCCCACCCTCACCTTCAGCTAGCTAACCTCCTGACCTACTTCCTCTGCTCGCTGATACGTTTCTCTCAGCAGCATCTTGTGGTTGAGTCGGAGGCGTGTGTGTGAACTCCTCCCACGGCCGTTATTGGAAGTTAACAGCATGCCAAGTTAAAGCATGTCAGCATCTAAATAAACAATAAACAATGGACAGACACACCACAAGTAGCTGCCTGCTGTGGCTGGTGTTGACATCTCTGAACAAACAAACAAATAAACACGTACGCACACAAGAAAGAAAAGAAGAAGAATGTGGAGCAAAGAGGAAAGCCTTTAACACAAGCCTGGTTGCTTTTTTATGAATAATTCAAATCCTTGGAACGTCTGAGAGAGAAAAAGATGCCCCTCTACACACACATCAACAAACCCACCCACACTTACACGTATACACACACACACCGATCACAGTGGTACAGAGAAGAGGGTTAGTGGGGAGTGTGTGAATGTGTGCAGCAATGTGTCAGGTTGAATTCATGGTATTTAGGTTGAGCTCCGTTTCAAGATTCCCTTCACCGCTGGAGTTGGAGGCTAGCTTTAAATGTGAATACAGTCATCCTGTTTATCCTGCTTCATCCCGTCATCCACCCCTATTCGATCCTATCCTCCCCCTGTCCTATTCATCATGCTATAAGCTAAAGTTTACCATAACATCGCCATTTAAATTTAGTACTTTATATTCGGACCTAAGTAGCTGCACGAGGGAGCTGACAGAAACCACACGTTGTAAAATAATGTTAAAAAGTCATATCAGAGGGATGAGGTGGATGGGTTGATTTAGTGAGTCTGGCAACCAGCCATCAGCTTTTGGTGGAAATGGAAACTATATATGGTTGCCATATATTTGAGTAATTAAAATGTTATGCATCACAACAATGAAAATGTAAGATAAAAGAATGTTTAAAGTTTATTACTGTGTTTTATCTGATACTTTACATAATGTGAATGTTAAGTGTTATAAGTTAACAACTTCACCCTCAATTCCTGGTATACAATATACCAGTTGCCAGCGGTTGTCATGTATTTGACGGATCCCAGCAATATTAAAATATCACTAATGCAAAAACTATTAGAAATATATTTATTTTGGGTTGCACGTTTTGCTGAATGTTGTCCCTATTTTTTTATATGTTAAAAAGTGGTTGCGAGTTTCTCAGTATGGTTTCCGAGGGCAACCTGGCAACCTTTACTGTCAAGACCTGGATGTCAGTGATGACAAAAAAGAAATGAAAGGGGAGAATAAAAAGACCTTTTCCCAGATGTAGAAGAGAGACACAGGAAAAAAACATGAGCTCATGATACAGAAACATTAGTTCAATCACAGCCTGGTGATAAATATTCAAACACTCAACTATCCATGAGTGAATTCCAATTATAGCTTGGGATTGCCTGTTGCTCTCTTTAAATGTCAACTGGTAAAATGTTTGTTTTGCTTTCATGAATAAATGGTTTTGGAAGAAGTAATGTTTCATGAAAGCAGCACATAAGGACAAACACTTCAAGAGATTTGTATTAAACTAATGCTTCAGCCACATGGCCTTTAGTTTCCCCATGCCCTCTATTGCCATATACCCACAATATGACATGGTCCTATGAATAACATCATAAAGTGGAGTGTTATTCTTTCTTTTCAGTACTGTCACTATGGCTAAATATTGTATTATAAAGTCCCAGATGACACTTTTTCTTTAACCTACCTGAGAATTATCTGCCTTTGTAATAATAGCACTTTTTTAAATAATGTGGTGTACTTTTTTGTGTAGTGTAGTTTTGTAAGGGATTAATTAATAATAACTTCTATAATTACATTAAAGTTACTAATCCCAGTAATGTCCATTTGTAACCAAGGGAAAAAAGATTGTATAGCTCCTACAAAATGATCTGAATCAATTGGGTTAGTGTTAATGTAGGACTTGGTTTTGATGAAAATGCCAGCGGTGGTGCATTTACAGCCATCAGAGGCTGATGTGAATGGTTTTTCACACTTCGCAGCTCATAATTACTGATTTTTTAAATCTTATTTATAGGCCAGGACATCTCTTCAGAACTAAAGTACTTCATTATAATGCTGTTTTGTCACACATTTTTTCCCTGTTTGTTTATTGCAACTTGCATATTGCAGCTGACCATATTGTGTTTTCGATAATATTTCAATTAATTGTTGCAGCTGTACTCAG